GCTGCCCTGAACTTTGCATCTGTCCGTTTGCTCAGGGTGACGTCAGTGAAGCCGTCTGCGTGGTTGGTTCAGTCTCTCTGCTCTACCTGTGGCGTTGGGTCCACATGTTCTCACATGTTCTCTCATGTTCTCACATGTTCTCTCATGTTCTCACATGTTCTCTCATGTTCTCCTGCTGCACGTTACCCTCATGCCGTCTGGTTCCTGCTGTTGCACAGCAGAGCTGCGGTTTTCCTTTAAGAGGCTCACCCTGTGGGCGGAGTTTGGGAAGTCTTTTGAACTTTGGCTTTCGGTTCTTGTTTAATAAGCTGTCAGCAGCAGTAATGTTCCTGCTCAGGAACTGTAAGCATGGCTGTGTTTGAGTTTTCTCCGTTGGATGTCATCCTCGCTTCCTGTGGTCTGCCCCTCTTCCTGTTCGACATAGTGCTGGACATCTGGGCTGCAGTGGAGTTCTATAAGGACGGGAAATACTGGTGTCTGGCTGTGTTGCTGCTGCTGCTGATCGGCTCCTCTGTCCTGGCTCAGCTCTTCAGCTGGCTCTGGTACAGCTACGATAACTTTAATTTAAACACCACAGTGGAAAAAGGAGTGGAGCCCTGCCTCGGAGTCCTGCATTACGTCCAGCTGGGGATCTACGTCAGGTGAGTCAGCAGCTCCTCCATGTCTTTGATCTGTTCTTTCAGCAGGACTTTAGTTTCTGTATCAGAGGGTGGAACCTGCTTATCTCGCCTCCTGTTCCTGCAAAGGTTCTGGTTTACAGGAAGCAGCAGCTGAAGCGTTAAATGGCAGGAAAACCCGATGGATCCAGAACTGAGTTAAAGGTTTAGATCTGAGACCTGCGGCTCTTTGGGCCCTTTGGATCTTAATAGAGGATAAAATGTATAAAAAAAGCTAAACAATGTGCTAAAATATTTACCAGTCTTATAAGCTTTAGTGGTTTTTATAAGATGGAAAATAACTTTAAAAGAACCAGAAATGTTTTTAGAGCCATTTTCTCTCATTCCACTGTAACAAGTACAGAGCAACCAAATTTACTGTAGCCCCTCCCCCATGGTGAGCAGGGTGGGGTTAAGGGTCTTGCTCAGGGACCCACAGTGGCAGTCTGTGGGAGTGGGGCTCGAACTCAGAACCGCTCTAAGCTCTAACCACTACGACGCCATTTTTCTCATTTCTTTTTGGAAATTATGTGTTTTAATTTGTTAAAAATA